GCCGCCCGGAGAGGACTGGAGGGACGCGGGTCTCTCGGCCACCACGAGGGGACCGTCCTCGATGGTGGCGGGCACTGCTCGTATCGAGGCGTGGGGGGCCGAGGACGAAGCCGGGGGACAGCACGCGCGCCAGGAAGCCCTGACGTCCCTGCGCCTGGCACAGTGATGCGTGAAGACGAAGAGTCCCAGGGCCGAGGCTGCCACCCCGTAGAGACAGCTGCACACCACCCGGGGCAGCCAACGCTGGGACACGGCCAGGGCTCCGCAGGCCCACATGGCCAGGAACAGGAAGTGCGTGGTCACCAGCGCCCCCAGCTGGACTCCTGGGGAATAGAGGCCGTCACCATTCTCCGGGACCCCTGGGGTCGCCCCCCCTGTGCTCCCGGTTGCCAGCAGGGAACCTGAGTCACTCAGGAGGGCACCGCTGCTCCTGAGCCTGGTGGAAGCTCTCAGTTCCTCTCCTGGCTCCAGGGAGATCCTGCTGCCGCTGCCCTTCGACCTCTTTGCCAGAGGACCCCGTAAGTGCAGTCCTGCACACAGGAAGTAGATCCAGGTGATCAGCAGAATCAAAGCCACTGGGATGTAAAAGGCGCCGAGGCTGGGACGCCACACCAGCCAGCAGCTAGGGGAGAGAAGAGTGGTGGATGAGGACAGCAGACCACACCGCCGGTGGGGCAGGGGAGGTCGGACCCCTGGAGTAGAGAGGCAGTCCTGGCTTAGTCACATGCGGGGTATGGGCCAGGCCCATGGCTGGGACGGGGAGGGGGCCCTAGGTGGGTAGGTCTGGGGCAGCCACGCGGGCAGCAGGGAGAGGTACTCACTAGGGACTGTGGTCCTGGTAGTTGTGGATATTGACCGCAGCTGTGATGCCACAGATTATGAGTGGGATCCCTCCAGCAATCAGGTAGAACCTAGAGGGGACAGGGTTTGGACATCAGAGATAAAGGTGGGAAGGAAGGGCCAGGCGCTCAGAACCCCCCACGCAGTGTCTCTGCCCCACCTCTCCCCTAGATCTGTCACAGATTGGCTGTTGGCGTTTTGTTGTCATTTTTTTGTTTTGGAATTGTTTTGTGCCAGGGATGCAAGGCCCATACCAGGCAGGCCTGGGAGACAGGCCTTGGCCAAGACTGTTCTAAGGGACAGAGGCCAGAACTGCACTCAGAAATCAGGGCATCCCTCAGGCTCTCCGGATCCCTGGCCCTGTCACATCTGAAGAGCCTGTGGGCTGGGCTCACTTTGCAGCCTGCGCGGGTGGCTGCGGCATGGGCTTCACCAGGACCTCAGGGCCTCCCTGCTCCCAGCCTGAGGGCTCTGCTGCGTCTGAGTCCCCTCCCACTGCACAGCTGCCTGCAGAAATACTTACCGGAGCATGGGCCGGGGAGCAGGTGGGGGAGGGTCACCTTCCTGTGGAGGGGGCACCCTCCAGGTGAGCTCCTTGTGCAGGACTCGCGCCTTTACCCCCATCCAGAGCAGTGTGGACAGTGAAGAGTAGTGCAGAGTGATGCCCACCTGCAGTCAAGGTGCTGAGGCTGGGCCAGGGCATTCGGCGGGGCCACCCCAGACTCAGCCCTG